CTCGCGTGGCACACATGGGATCGTCGTTGTCGTCGTTGTACCCGAGGTTGAGGTGGTCGTCGTTGTCGTCGTGGAGGTCGACGTGCTGTTGCTGCCTGCACCTGTTGTGGTCGTTGTAGTCGTTGTGGTAGTGGTGGTTGTCGTGGTAGTTGTGGTCGTTGTCGTGGTTGTCGTCGTCGTGGTAGTTGTGGTCGTTGTCGTGGTTGTCGTCGTCGTGGTGCTGGTGGTAGTGGTGGTAGTGGTGGTAGTTGTCGTGGTAGTGGAAGTGGTGGTGGTTGTGGTGGTGCTGGTGATGTCTGGGAACTGCACGCTATCAATGACGTGCACGTAGCCCACATCCGTGGCAATGTCCTGCTGCACAATGGTGCCCGTGCCGTAGGCGAGGCTGCCGTTGTTGTGCACCAGCGAGACCACCTGGCCGTTCGCGGGGGTGACAGAGCGCAGGCCCTGCAGGTCGGCGAAGGAAAGCGACTGCCCACGGACGAGATGGTGGAGCAGAATCTGGCGCAGGCGGAAGTCGTCGCTGAGAAGATCAAGCACAACGGGCTCGGGGATGTCGGCAAACGCGTCGTTGGACGGCACAAACAGCGTGACGCCCTCCTCGTTCAACACATCGTCCAGGTCCGCCGAGGAGAGGAGGAGGATGAAGGTGGAGAAGTCAAAGTTGGAGGTAAGCGCGTCGCGGAGCGAGTCAATGAGCGTCGTCGTCGTGGTGGTGGTGGTCGTCGTCGTGGTCGTGGTTGTCGTTGTTGTTGTCGTGGTGGTGGACAGCGGCACGATGTACACCTCGCCCAGCTCGTGCACGAACCCGTTGTCAGCGTACTGGTTGCGGCGCACAATGGGGGCGCCGTCGACGTAAATCTCCTCATCGCTGTCACGGGTGATGGTCACGCGGAAACCACGCATGGTCTGCAGCATGCGGCCGTCGGTCAGCTCCGATGCGCGGAAGGAGCCCTCTGTTGCAATGAAGTAGGACATGAAGTTGCGCAATTCGGCGTTTGTGGCAAAGTCGAGCGAGGCGCGCTCAAACGCGGCGTTGTTGGGCACAAAGAGCGTGCGGCTGCCGGGCTCTGTGAGGACGCTGTCGAGGTTGGCGCTGGCGAGGTAGAAGTAAAACTGGGCGTAGTCCAGGTTGGTGAGGATGATGTCCGCAAGGGTGTCGGCGGTGGCAGATGTGGAGGTGGAGGTGGAAGTGGAGGTTGATGTGGACGAGGAGGTGGAGGTTGACGTGGAGGTGGAGGTGGAGGTGGACGACGTGGTGGAGGTGGAGGAAGACGTGGAGGTGGAGGTGGAAGACGAGGAGGATGTGGGCACAAAGTCATCTGGGTCAAGCACGGTGCCGAGGACGTAGATGACGCCGTTGGTGGCGAGCGGAGCGCGACGCAGGATGGGGGCGCCAGACACGGAGAGGCCGTACGGGGCAGAGGGGTCTTCGTTGATGCGGAGGAGAGAGCCCTGGGCGGTGTCGAGGCGGTCGCCATCCTCAATGTTCTCAAAGCGGCCGGGCACGGCGTGGTAGTCGATGAGGTCGGCAAGCTCCATGGGGGAGGTGAGCAGGCGAGAGAGCTCGCCAGAGGGCAGCGCAGCAAAGGCGGCGTTGTTGGGCACAAACAGCGTGTGCTGCATGCTGCCAGAGAGGTAGAAGTTGCGGCTGGCGCGGCCGACGAGGAAGACGTACGTGGAGAACACCGACGACTGTGAGAACACCACGGCGCTCAGCGTTGGGTACGTGGCGGTGGTGGTGGTCGTCGTGGACCGCGTGGTGGTTGTCGTGAGAGACGTGGTGGTGGTTGTCGTTGTCGTTGTCGTTGTCGTCGTGGTCGTCGTGGAGGTGGACTCGACGGTGCTGCCACGGACCAGGTTCACGCGCACCGTGCCCGTCAGGGTCGGGCCATTGTCCACAAACACAGACACGGTCAACCTGTCATTTGGGGGAGGGGGGTTGGGGGTGGAGTTGGAGAATGGTGGGTGAGGGAGTACGAGGGACGGAGGGAGGGGGGCGTGCGTGTGGGCGTGTTCGTGACTAGCTTGGCATTTGTACTGTGTGCGTGTGCGTGTGTGCGTGTGTGTGTGTGTGTGTGTGTGTCTGTCTGTGTGTGTGTGTGTGTGTGTCTGTGTGTGTGTGTGTGTGCGTGTGTTTGTGTGGAAAGCATGACTACTCACGTGCGCACGCCTGTGGTTGGGGGCAGGGCGTCGTTGCGGTAGAGGAGGTCGGAGATGGCCTGCTCGTAGACAGCTGGCGTGGCCAGACCTTCAAGCTGCAGCGTGCCGGTGAAGTCGTTGAAGGTGACAGTCAGCGACTGCTCGGAAAGCGTGGACAACGTCTGCGCGGGGGATGTTGGGAGCGATTGCGTTCGCGTGAGGGACGAAAGGGGGAGGGCGTCAAGACAAACCATGGCTTGCAAGCGTGACCTTCGTCGTACGCCATGTCATTGGCAGAATGCATGTGTACAAGCACACGTACGCACGCGTGTACATGCGCAAGCACACACACACACACACACACACACATACACACACACACACACACATGCAACTTCACGCACCTCATCCGAGCCATCGGGGCGTGGGGAGATGACAATGTTGGCGCTGGAGATGAGGCCAGCAACGTTGTTGATCATGACATCAGACGGTGCTGCGCGGATCAGCCCATCGACGCCAGCAATGAACAGGCTCGTGTACACTGCATAAACCAAAGGCGCACCGTGTCAAATACGGGGGTCGCGTTTTTGTTTTTGTTGGGTGATGGTCGTTGTCCAAGTGTTGTGTGAGCGGGAGATGGACAACCAACACATGGACAGAGACAAAAAAAAAAAGACAAAAAAAGTGCGACGTGAAGAAAACAGGACAGCGCCAACAGCGCCAGCACTGCAGAGACGCGGCCATGCTGACACAGCCAGACGCAACAGATCCAAATGCACCCATGGCTCGGTCGCTGTGCTCTCGTTTGTTCGTACCTGGGCCGTTGCCGTTGGGGGGAATGACCAGCTGCGGCGCGGCAGTGGTGGTGCTTGTCGTCGTGGTGGTGGTGGTGGTGGTTGTCGTCGTAGTCGTGGTGGTAGTCGTCGTCGTGGTTGTCGTGGTTGTCTCACCAAGAGGCTCAACGTCCACAATAAGGCGGGGCCGCACACCGAGCACGCTCGGGTTCTCGCGGGACTCAAAGCTGCAAACGTTGCGCGCGCACACAAGTGATGAGGTGAGTGCATGTTGCAGTCGCTGAACAAAGACTTGGGCGGAAGGGTGGGGAGGCAGACAAACCAAAGCTTGTTCACAGCAGGTAGAGGTAGGCAATCCAGCGAGCGATAAATGGCAAGTCGTGTCATCGCACGCGCTATGTGCCCGTGTACTCCGCGCGGCAACAGAAAGACGAACAACACATGCGACGTCACAGCGTCAACACGACAACAAGAGACGCCAGTTTGCACGGCTTGCACGCACGGCTTACCGCTTCATGGAGGGAACAGTCTCGTCGTTGGCTTTGAGCAGGAAGCCAAGGTTTTCACCGCGGAAGCGAAGGTTGTTGATCTCAGCGGCAAAGTCCTCACCAGAGAACACAACAAAGCTGTCCGCGCCACCTGTTGGGACGGGCGTGTGCAGGTGGCATGCACGAGTGAGCGGGTGAGTGAGTGAGTGTGTGTGTGTGTGTTGAGTGTGATAGAAAGAGAAAACTCATCACGAAAGGAAAGACGTGGTATGAGTTGATATTTCAGTGTTACTCGCCCAACAACAACAAACAACAACAACAACAGCAACAGTAACAACGCGCACACACACATATCATGTGTACCGGCGGTAGCGGAGGCAACAGGCGGGCTGGAGAAATCGCCACCAGCGGCTGTCCACGTGGTGGAGGGGAAGGAGCTGTCTGTCCACGTGGCATCGTTGTCCGTGGGTGTAACACCGCTCGTCTCAGGCTAAGAAAAGGGGAAAGATGATGAGGGGAAGTGGCGTACAAATAGAAAGGACAATGTGTGGTTAGTACGTGGGGCTCGAGCAGCAGCGCGCATATGTGTGGGAGTGTGTCTGTGCCAATGCGTGCGTGCGTGCGTGTATTTCAAGTATCAGCACCCTTCACCTCGTCACCTCTCTGTTGTGACGTACATCGGTGGGGTTGGAGGGGCCCTCGGTCCAGGCAGAGGTGAGAGAGTGGAGGTCAAAGACGGTGTCGCCCACTGGGGTGTCCGCGACGTGGAAGATGAGCTGGGCCGACGTGACGCGAACGTTGTCCGGCAGGGAGTTGAGCGCCAGCATGATGACGGCGCGACGCATGTTGCCCTCGCCGTCTGTGCCTGCAATGAGGAACGAACCAGCACCGTTGGCGCCGCCTTCCTCGTACAGGGTGGCATCGGCTGAAGCGGCGAGCGTGTACTGATCACGGAAGGTTGTCGTGACACCGTTGGTCGTGGTGGTGGTGGTAGTTGTCGTCGTCGTCGTTGTTGTTGTTGTAGTGGTTGTGGTCGTCGTCGTCGTCGTTGTAGTCGTGCTCGTTGTTGTTGTCGTGGTCGAGGCGGTTGCGCCGGCTGCACAGGCATAAGAAGAACCAGCGACACCATGCGGCAGGTGGTGCATGCATGCAAGAGACACAGCAGCACGTGTGAGCAATTGCCAGATGAATGTGGTTGGCACATTGAACAGCGCCAACCAGAGAGGGGGAAGGCGTGCATTCAAGGGGAAGTATGTGTGTGTTTGTGTACGTGCGGTTTTGTGTCAGTGCATGTAAGAAAGTGTGTGCGCGCATGTGTGTGTGTGTGTGTGCGTGTGTGTCGTGTGTCGTGTGCACGGGTTTGGACAAAACGTGGTGGGCTGCAACGATAAACTCACCGCACACGTCACAGGGCTCGAAGAGGGTAAAGGGGTCTGTGGTGAAGCAGTAAGGGGACGATTCGCCGTCAGGGTTGCGGCAGAAGTTCTCCCTCAAATCAGCATCAGGAAAGCTGGCAACGCGTGGTGGCGGGGGAGCGGGCCGCTAAGGTGAACTCATTGCGTCAACGTGTTTGAAGAAGGGGGGGGATTCATCCAAGAGAGAAGCCACACACACACACCATCCACGAAACCGCACACACACGCATGATGCATGCATGCACATGGAAGCAGCTCCACTCACTTCTCTGGGGTACGCGTGTGTCTGTGTGGTGACTGGGACGACCATGCTTGGCAGGTCTTTCCAGAGACGGTAACGGAGAGCTCGCCGCGGTAGTTTGAGCCATCACCGACAAGCTCGCCGTTCTCACACTGTGCGCCGTCGACGTTGATGATCTGTGCGCTGACAGGGGCGACGAGGAGCTGGCTGAGCGCCAGCAGCGCGGCGGCAAGGGCCAATGATTGCCTTGCACGCATCCTCAATGGAAGGGCGAAAGGGAGAGCAAGAGCAAAGGAGGGGATAAACCAAGTGGGGAGGGTTGGAAGGACAGAGATCCGTCTGTTGACGCGCAACGGCAACCGCGGTACAAGCGTTGTTGTGGTGGTGCGTTGAAGTGAAAGGGTTTCGGATGAGTACAAGTGCTGTCGAGAGGGTGCTGGGCAAAGAAAGTGTGGACGTGTGCGCGTGTGTATGCGTGTGGAATGTGTGTGTATGCGTGTGTGTGTGTGTGTGTGTGCGTGGATGAAAGCACACACAAGGGATGGCAGCACACGAGCGGTGCTTGGCTGGTGATGCTGGAGCTGCTTGGTGGCTGATGGCACTCACGTATATCCGTGCGTGCGTGTGTGCTCGTGCGGATGATGGTGATGGGTGATGGGTGCGTGATATGAATGGATGAATGTGGCGTGTGAGCGCTTTGAAGCCGGCTTGTTTGTGTGGGCTGTGCTGTGGCGTGGTGTGGTGTGGCTGGAAAGGAGGTGGTGAGCGAGAGCGCACGCGAAACGGGTGGAAAGGTGGAAGAAAGGCAAAGCACTAACTCTCAAAGGTGAGCCAAGTAGCGGAACAGGGTGTGGGACGGGTGCGAAAATGAGGGCGTGCGTGCACGCAAGACGGAAGAGGGTTGGTGTCGAGAAAGAGGGGAGAGGGAGTGAGGGGGAGAAAGAGAGGTAGGCAGGGAGGGAGAGTGCGTGTGGGTGTGTGGGTATATGGGGGACGAGAACAAGCAACGGCCAGGCAGAGAGAGAGCGAATGACGACGGGCGAGGCACACGCCACCAAACAATGGATGGGTGGGGTGGAAGGGGACAGAGAGTGAATGCACAAAGCAATCTGGGTGGGGTAGTGAAGTTTGGTGGATGTGTGTGGATGCGTGCGTGTGTGCGTGTGTTTGTGTGAAGGAGTGAACAATGCTGTCGTTGTTGTGGCTGTTGCTGTGGTTGCTGCTCTTGGTCGTCAGCTCGCTTGCTCGCTGGTTGAGAATCACTGACGGATCGACAGCCGGGAGGTCCAACAACTGGCAACTTTCAACCAGCCAACCAGCCAGCCAGCCAGCAAGCTAACCAAACGAAGTGCAGGAGCATCGATCTCGCACGCTCTGGTCGCGTTACCTGTGTTGAGGAGGGTAGGCCTGGGTGGCTGTAGCCACTGAGGGTGGTGGGTATCTGGTGGTAGTGGTGGTGGCGGTTGTGGTGATGGGAGGGCAGTCAAGCAAGCAACGCAAGCAAGTCAGGCCAGGTGAGTGAGTGTGTGCGTGCGTGTGCGTGTGTGTGTGCGTGTGTGGCAGTCAGTGTCCGTGCGTGCATGCGTGCATCAGAAAATGGTGGATGCGGGAGGGAGAGGGAGATGGTGGGTTGGTGTGCGAAGGTGTGGCTGCACACACAGACCGACAGAAAGGCAAGCGACCCACCCTCGCCCAACACATACACATACACATACACATACACATACACATACACAGGCGAGCACGAAGCAGTAACCACGAGTCGTCACAGCAGCCAACACTCTCACGAACGAACGATGCGCCAAGGCGAACCAACCGGGTGTGTGTGTGTGTGTGAGTTTGAGCGTGTGGCGTGTGAGTGAAGGCGAGAAGAAGAAGAAGGAACACCACGCTACGCAAACAGAGGGCGGCAATCAATGGAAAAGGCAGGCGGCAGCAGCGGCGTGCGTGCGTTGGTGCGTTGTGCTTTGTGTTTTGAGTTTTGCTGGGTGGGCTGGTCAGTGAATGCTTGCAAGCACCAATGCAAGCAAGAAAAAAAAATTAAAAAATAAATTGCATGCGATCACACCCAAACAACAAGCGGCAGTGGTGTTGCGATAGTTTGTGGGTCTGGAAGCGAATATTCTTGCAGGTGAGGCGCGTTTCTGCAGCTTTTGCTGGGGAGAGGCGACCGTTATCGCACAGCGCGTGTGTGGGAGGGGGGCATTGTTGTCTTGGCGTGGCTTTGTTGCGGAGTGGCGAATGACAGAGAAGTTTATGTGAAGACATTGAGAAAAGATGGGCATCGAGGCACCGATGTGTTGACTGATGGCAAACAATCAGTGAAAGCTCCGTTTGCATGCAAGCAAGCAAACAAGCCACTGCACAGCGACAGCACAAAATGCGTACACAGTCAGATCGCTGACTCAGCAGGAGGTGGTGGAACAAAACAAACACAACAAAGTCGTGTCAGATCGACACACACACACACACACACACACACACACACACACACACACACACACACCCACTGCAATCGTGGGAGCAATGAGCCAGGACGCTTACGTTGCCCGCATCTCACTGGTTGAAGCGAGACAGCACTGCAATCAAACAAGGAAGAAGCAGAACACAAACAGCAAAGCACATCAACACGTGAGAGGTAGAGGTGAAGGCATGACACAGTCACAAAGTGCATGGCACACCATTGCACACACACACACACACACACACACACACACACACACACACACACACACACACACACACACACACAAGAGCGTGTGCAGCAGGCACGATAACACCACCCTGTTTCCCCTTTTCCCCGTCGTCCTCACCTCGATCCATGACGCGCCAAATCTCAGGCTTGGACTTGTACTCGGCCAGCTTCTCTGGATGGTCCACGCAGTCCTCAAACGCAGCCTTGATCTCCGGGTTCTGTGCAGTTGGGGGAACGTGTTGTGTGTGTATTGTGTGCGTGTGCGTATTGTGTGTGTGTGTGTTTGTGTGCGTATTGTGTGTGTGTGTGCGTATTGTGTGTGTGTGTGTTTGTGTGTGTATTGTGTGTATTAGTTTGAAGACGTCTGTCACCCCCTTGCACCCACATTCAGACACGTGTGCATACAGTAAAAGTTACGTGCAGGTGAAAATGCTATGCAAGCACATGCACAGGGCGCGCACGCCAACCAAACAACCAAACAAACAACCAAACAACCAGCACACCTTCAAAGCCTCGAGCGTTTGGTCGTCGTTGAGCACCTCATTCACGGCCGGATCCTCCATGATGGTCTCCATCTGCCACATTGTGCAGAACAGAGGAAAAGCATGCGTTGATTGCATTGATTGCGTTGATTGTGTTGATTGCATTGATTGCGTTGATTGCGTTGATTGTGTTGATTGTGTTGATTGCGTTGAGTGTGAGGGGTTTGCGACAAAAAAAAAAAGGGTGCGAAACGTGCACCGGGCAGCACCAAGACTGTACAGCACCCACAGTGGAGGTGGTTGCGAGCCGAAGCATATGGCTCTGTTCAGCGGCAAGATCAAACTTGCAGCAAGGGCGTGTTGCGCTGTCACATCACCTTTTGCATGTTCGCCTTGACTTGCTTCCTGAGTGCGATACCTTCCTCACTGTCGTCGGGATTGATCTTGTCAGCTGCAGCAAGGTCCTTGTGGCTCTTCTCCCTGGACACCCCCCCCCCAACGCCAAACAACACAAACAGACAAGCACCAGGCAGACAGTCAGGTGAATCGGTGCATCCATGCGGAAGCAATGTATCAACAACAACCTCAACAGCGGCACACCAAAACGTCGCAAACGATGCATGGAATTTAAGAAGCACTCTGTTGCGCCACACTCCGCTGACAACACACCAGCAGTCACTCCAAGATCCACAAACACACACACACTCACACACCCACTCACTCACACACGTTCACACACACTCACACACTCACGCTCTCTCATTCTCACCAAAGAGCCAGCATGGCGTGTGCCTTGCCACGGCAGCGCAGGGCGTACAGGCTCTCCTTGTTGTGCTCGAGCGCGGCGTCGCAGTCGGCGATGGCGGCCGTGGGCATCTTCAGCGCAGTCAAGGCCATTCCGCGCATGGCAAGCATCCTGCACAACAGCAGCACGGTAGTGCCAGTGCAGTTTGGGAAGTGCAGCGAGAAGAGCAAGCATGTCAGTGAACAACAGTGCACAGTGTGAGCCTGTGAACAACACAGCGTGAGAGAGAACATGTCCGCAGATACCCTGATACAAACACAAACAAACGTTTCGACACCAACTGAAAAAAAAGGGGGGGGGGATGCGTGGTGTTGTCGAGCGGCACGTAGCAGTACTCCACTACACGTGGTGTCGGAGTCATGGGCAATGTCAGACAGACGGATGTACAGCAACAACGGCGTTTGTGTGACAAGGCCACACCTGTGGCTGCTGCCGTCCAGGCCTACGGCCTTGTTCGCAAGCTCCAGCGCTTCGGTGGCCCTGTTCTCCCTCAACGCCGTCTTGATCTTTGGAACGAGCTCCTTGGCGTCCTCCTTCTCGCTCGGAGACGGCTAATCATAAGGAGTGTGCGTGTGTGTGTGTGTTGCAGTGAAGGTGGGGTGTGAAGATGCGGGATGGAGGGGTGATGAGGGTTCATTTGCGTGCTGCAAAACGCACAACCAAACAAACAATAATATAAACACAACACAAACAAAGCAAGGCAAGGCAAGGCAAGCAAGTTAACCCAACATAAGCACATGACTCGTGCACACACACACACACGTCATGTCACAACACTTCACACAACACGCCACATCTACCGTGTGCGCAGCGTACCGATGCGTTTGCCTTTGTGAGGTCCGAGGGAGTGCCTTCGGCGCCAATGACGCCTGTCATGTTCAACTCAGCGAAACCCCTGCAAGAACGAGAAAGGAGGACGGTCACATCACAAACAAAAACAAAACGTGCAGTGAGCAGTGAAGCAAGGACACAGGCCAACAAAGAGCTCAAGGTCAGTCCTTCAGTCGATGCTTCTCTACGGCAGTCTATCAAACACAAGGCCCCAGGCATCCTCTCATCAGCACAGCACAGCACAGCACAGCACAGCACAGCACTCCAAGCAGCCCATAGGCATCGTGTGTGTCACATCCTCATCCACCCTCACAGCCGTAGGTACATTTTGTTGTTGCAGATCTTTGCTGCTGTTTTGGTTTGGTGCGGACAAAGGAAAAAATACGCCCCCCTCCACGTCTGCTCGTCTGGTGCGTGTGCGGGAAATGTCCTTCTCGCGTGAAGATATGGGTAAATTTTCGACGCCCGCATGGATGGGCCCGTACCACACAGTTGCGCGCACACGACACCAAGTTGTGCACCTGCTGCTCGCTCGCTTGTTGCTTGCTTGTTGTTGTTTGTTGTGCCTTTTTCCTCCTTCCTTCCTTCCCGCACCTTGTTTCTCGCTGCATATCCAACCCCTCAACAATCAACCCACAAGCACGCACGCACACGCACGCAAGGATGAGCTCCACCACGGTGAAGAAGACAACCGCGGCGCAGCCAAACGGCGACGTCAAGGTGAAGGTGGCTCCCACCTCCACCCAGGTACGCGCACGTGTGCGTTTTTTTTTGTTTTGCGCGTGTGTGGTGAGTGAGGGTGAGTGAGAGAATGTGTGTGTGTGTGTGTGAAGAGTTTTGTGTTGTTTGTGCGTGTGTTTTGCTTTTCTGTGTTGTGTTTGCAGTGGAAGACAAGCCGTCACGGACTTTTTGCACTGTGTTTGGTCACTCACACAACATGATGCCTCCCGCTCTGCGCGCTTCCACCCAACAGCCGCCCAAGGCCGACAAGATCGCAGGTAAGACCTGTGTGCCTGTTTGTGCACACGTGTGTGTTGAAGACGGGCTGAACGTTGTGAGTGATTCCAGCAACAGTAATGGCAAACAGTGACAAGCAGCCCAAACTGACGTTGTGTTGCACTGTGTGTTTGCGCAGATCCCCGCGCGCCAAAGCTGCCGCCGTTCCAGTTTGATGCGTCCCTCAAGACCAACCCGGACGATGTCGCTCCCACTGGCACCAAGCCGCCCGTCAGGTGCGTTCTTGGCGCCGCGTGCGAGCGGATATCGCCATTGTCTGGAGTTCATCACACACGCATATGTGGTGCACAACAACGACACGTCACAACACACATTCATGCATACACAAATTCACACACGCACACAAACACACACCCTCTCTCGCTCTCTCTCACACACTCTCTGTCTTGCTCACTGATTTCCCTCACACATCATATCCCGTCTTGTGAACAGCGTTGCGGAGGTGTTTGAGACGCTGGCGTACGGCCCTGCGCCAGAGAGCCCTGCCGTTGCCAACGCGTGGCTCGACGACCACGGCCGTGACTTTGGCCACTTTGTCAACAACAAGGTACCGCATGTGCGTGTGTGTGTGTGTGTGTGTGTGTGCGTGTGTGTGTGTGTGTGTGTGTGTGCGTGCGTGCGTGCGTGCGTGCGTGTGTGTGTGTGTGTGTGTGTGTGTGTGTGTGTGTGTGTGTGTGTGTGTGTGTGGCAACCCAAAGCAACGAGCAGACACAATCATGTCGCGTCGCACTCCTCTCTCACACGCAACCGTGTGTGATTTCAATGACGTGCAGTGGTACAAGCGGGACGGCCGCTCCAAGTACGAGTGCCGCTGCCCCGCCCGCGACGAGTTTCTCGCCCACACCGCCGAGGGTGACGACGAGGACGTCGACGTCGCCGTACGTGCTTCGTGTGTGTGTGTGTGTGTGTGTGTGTGTGTGTGTGTGTGTGTGTGTGTGTGTGTGTGTGTGTGTGTGTGCTTCGTGTGTGTGTGTGTGTGTGGTTGGTGTGTGGTTGCGTGAGTGAGCGTGAGCCACGTGCGCACAGCCCCTATGCGCACCCCACCGCCTTTGTTTGCATACACATGTTTTTGCGCTTCAGCGAGAGCCATCATCCCCTCACGTCTCGAGCTTGCCGCCGTCGCCTCACAATCACCACAACAGATGAAGGCTGCCCACGAAGCCCACAAGACATGGAGCAAGCTGCCAGGCCACGTTCGCGCCCGCTACATCTACAGGTGTGACAGCACGTTGTTGGCAAGTGTTTTGATACTCCATCCAACATCATCAACTCAAACTGCCCACTTTGTGTATGTGTGTGTGTGTGTGTATGGCAGCATTGCCCGCCACGTGCAGAAGCATATTCGTCTCCTTGCAGGTGCGAGATCCACGCTGCGCATGTGTGACCGTTGCTTGTAGACGACCCAGAACACACCCGCACACACATGACTTGTGCACAACCTTTGCTGTTTCTTCCACCGCCATGTCCTGTGCTAGCATGCCCAAAGCAACCTCCCTACACCACGTGCATCCCCCTTCCCAATCCCTCTACCCACTCATCCCCACCCTCTCTCTCTCTCTCTCTCTCTCCCTCCTCTCTCTCTCTCCATCTTCCTCCTCTGCCATGTGTGCCTGCAGTGGTTGAGTCGCTGGACAACGGAAAGCCCATCCGCGAGACGCGTGATGCCGACATGGCCGTTGTCGCCCGCTGGCTCTACCACTACGCCGGATGGGCCCAGGTACTGCCTCCATGCTGTGATGTGGCTGCTGCTGTGGTCGTGTTGAGTTGTGGGTGCGTGCGTGTGTATGTGGGTGTGTGGGTGTGTATGTGGGTGCGTGTGGGTTTGTGTGCGTGTGTGCGTGTGCGTGTGTGCGTGTGTGTGTGTGTTGCGGATCCACTTCAAATATTCCAAACATTACCAATTCCCAGCGACAGCAACATTCCACTACGCCACATCAAACAAGCCAATCAAACCCCGACTGCGTGCGTGCTGCCTGGTCTGCAGGTGCTTGACCGCGAGATGCCCGAGATGACCTCTGTTGGTGTCGTCGCCGGCATTGTTGCGTGGAACTTCCCCCTCATGCTTCTCGTCTGGAAGGTGCTGCATCCATGCGCCCACGCAACCATGCATTCGTGCACCCTCTTCTCGCACCCGCATTCCATCTCGTATACATCACACAGTGCCCCAACTGCCACGTATCACTGTCCACTGCCACGATACACTCACGCTCACCCACATCACATCACACCACACACCACACACACACACACACACAATCGCACAGGTTGCGCCGGCGCTTGCAGCAGGCAACACCATTGTGATGAAGCCAGCAGACTACACGCCGCTCTCTGCGCTGCTGTTTGCGGAGATTTGTGCAGAGGCCGGCCTGCCTCCAGGTGTCTTCAACGTCGTCACGGGCGCAGGTGCCACCGGTGCCAAGGTTGCCGCTCACCCGCTCGTTGACAAGCTCGCGTTTACGGGCTCGACCGGAGTTGGCCGCATCCTCCGCCGCGTCACCGCAGGCACTGGTGCGCTCGCCATGTGATGTGGACTGTTGTTGTTGTCTAAGTTGTTGTTGTTGTTGTTGTCTAAGTTGTTGTTGTTGTTGTTGTCTAAGTTGTTGTTGTCTAAGTTGTTGTTGTTGTTGTTGTTGTTGTTGTTGTTGTTGTTGTCTAAGTTGTTGTTGTTGTTGTTGTTGTTGTTGTTGTTGTTGTTGTCTAAGTTGTTGTTGTTGTTGTTGTTGTTGTTGTTGTTGTTGTTGTTGTTGTCTAAGTTGTTGTTGTTGTCTAAGTTGTTGTTGTTGTTGTTGTTGTTGTCTAAGTTGTTGTTGTTGTTGTTGTTGTTGTTGCTGTAGTTGTTGTTGTTGTTGTTGTTGTTGTTGTTGTTGTTGTTGTTGTTGTTGTTGTTGTTGTTGTTGTTGTTGTTGTTGTTGTTGTTGTTGTTGTTTAAGTTGTTGTTTAAGTTGTTGTTTAAGTTGTTGTTGTTGTTGTTGCGCTCCATTTCATGTTGAGTATTGTTGCATGCCCTTGCTGGCGTTGTTCGTGCCTCTACATGCTTCTAACACCTCACCACCACCACCACCCTCCCCCTCCCAAAACAAACAACAACACAATTGCGCGCGATGGTTAGGCAAGAAGCTGTCGCTTGAGCTTGGCGGCAAGTCGCCTGTGATTGTGTTTGACGACGCGGACCTTGACGGAACCATCGAGGGCGTCATTGACGCAATCTTCTTCAACCAAGGACAGGTCTGTTCATCGAACGTGCTCAGTTCAGAGAGAGAGTGTGTGTGTGTTTGTTTGTTTGTTTGTGTGTGCGTGTGTGCGTGTGTTTGTTGGGCATCCGTATGTGTGTTGATTGTGTATTTGTGTATGTGTTCGCGTTTCTGTCCACACATACATGTGCGTGCTTGGTTTTGTGTACACGTGTGTGTGTGTGTGTGTGTGTGTGTGTGTGTGTGTGTGTGTGTGTGTGTGTGTGTGTGTGTGTGTGTGTGTATCCCCTTCCTCTTGCTCCTTCCGCCCCTCCTCTGGCGTCCTGCATGTGTCCGCCTGTTGCGCGTGGGCGGGCAAGCCGTGGCCACGCACCCACACTGAGTGCAGATTCGCGTGTATGGCCGCAACTTGATACAATCACAGGTCTGCAGCGCCGGCTCTCGCCTCCTCATCCAGGAACCCGTCTTTGACAAATTTGTCGCAAAGGTGCGCGCTTTGTTTGTTTGTTTGTGCGTGAGTGCGTGCGTGCGTGCGTGCGTGCGTGTCGAGGATGGTGTTGACTTCTGCCCCCACCCATGATGTAACAACATCCGTCCCCATTGCTCTCATCCCTCCTACACACGCGCGCGCGCGCACACACACACACACACACGCACACGCACACGCACACACAGCTGAAGGAGCGCATGACGCACCTGCGCGTGGGCGACTGCCTCGACAAGTGCGTTGACATTGGCGCCATTGTCGACGACAAGCAGGTGCGGCCCCTCACCTCACGTGCATCACGGATGCACCCTTGTCCACATGAACAGTTGTTTGCACACGCGCGCATACTGTCGCACGCACAGCTATGCACCCTTGTACTCAGAGGATACCCTGACGTCCACGCATTGCATCGACGTGCCTATCAGCTGCGTGTACCTTCACTGCTCAAATGACCTCCAGTCACGTGCAATTGACATTACGTCTGCGTTGTTATCTCCCCGTTGCAAACATATGTGTGTGTGTGTGCACAGCGCAAGACGATTGACGGCTATGTGCAGATGGCGCGTGACGAAGGGTGCGACGTGTACCAGGCGTGCTCGTGCATCCCAGACAAGGGCTGCTACTACCCGCCAACGCTCATCACCAACGTCGACGTGCGTCACACGTGCACATCACATCACAGACGAGAACTGCTTGTGCACACAACGTGTCTTCGCTTTCCGCTGTCTGCTTCGTTTGTGGGAGGGGAACGAACGTCGCCATGCAAGTGGCTGAACTTCCCTCACATGCGCAATTCATTCATTTACTCACCCTGCGACTTCACACACACGCACACATTCACGTACATACGTGCACACACACACACACACATCACGCACATACATACGCACACACGCTCGCTCGGTCCGCATGCAGACGTCGTCCGTGTGTGTGCAAGAGGAGATCTTCGGCCCTGTTGTGACTGCTCAGGCATTCCGCACAGCTAAGGAGGCCGTTGCACTCGCCAACAACACCACGTCAGTCACTCACACACAACAACGCACTCACATACACATGTGAATGCATGCATGCATGGGCGATTGCTTTGCTTCGTTTTGATGTCGGTTTTCCTTGGTTGCTGCTCACACTTGCATCACCTGCATGCTTGTCCATGCCATGCCTTATGCATGTTATGCCCGATGCGTGTTAGGTACGGTCTTGGTGCAAGCGTGTGGTCGGAGAACCTCAGCAAGGCCCTCGAGGTAACGCCACGCTTTGATGCTTCCATGCACGCATGTCGCTGTCCGTCCTCTGTCGTGAACACCACGCGCACATGCATATGTATGCACATACACGCACAACTCAAGGCACACCCACACACGCAATGCATCGGACCGTGACATGTCTGATTCAATGCACTCGTTGTCGCCTCAGCTTACGTCGTTGTTGCGTGTTCCATGGATGTGTGCTTCCGCCAGCTTTCGCTGATGATCAAGGCGGGCACCGTGTGGATCAACGCCCACAACCTCTTTGACGCAGCAGCCGGCTTTGGTGCGCTGTCTTTTTGCTTTAAATGACGATGTGTTGCTGTGGGCGTTGGCGCGCGTGTGCTTGCGTTGCTGGGTTGGCTTGCATTTGGTGTCTTTCTTTGCTTTGTTTGAACACTGATTTGCATGTTATTGCTACTCCCACGTGCGCCCGCGCACACAACAAACCCACAAACACATCCAACAAACACACACTCACATCCATGCACACACACACACACACACGGATCAAACACACGAACACTCACATCCGTGCGCACGCCTGGACATCAGGCGGGTACCGTGAGAGCGGGTTTGGGCGCGACGGCGGCAAGGAGGGCCTGTACGAGTACACCAAGCCAAAGCACCTCAAGCTCACCAAGCGCGACGCAGACAAGATTGACATCTCATCCTTTGGCAAGGTGCGTGCTTGTGTATGTGTGTGTGTGTGTGTGTGTGTGCGCGCGCGCGTGTGTTTGTGTCTCCTTCCCCACCCCATTTCAAAACGAGTTCTGTGGCCCCTGATCAATGTCTTCTTCACTCAAACCATCACGAATCCCCTCACTCCCCAAACCACCACATTACTCACACCACACACCACACATCACACCACACACCACACACCATGGACACGTGTGCAGGTGACACCCCACCGTCCGTCGCTCGACGATGAGCGGGCCGAGGTCGCCACCCTTGGGCCGCACGCGGCGGACGTCCCATCGTACGTTGCCTCGCACACACCACCGCGATTCTTCCTTGCTGTTGCTGCTTCCTCTTGTCTTACACAGCACCCACCGTGTTTTGCGCAAAGTCTTGCCAGCACACTCACACACACGCACACACACACTCACACACACACACACACACACACACACACACACACACACACACACACACACACACACACACACACACACACACGCACACACACGCACACACACAGGGTTGATCGGACGTACAAGATGTACTATGGCGGTGCGCAGAAGCGGCCCGATGCGCCGTACGCCCGCCCCATCCGCAACGCTGCCGGCAAGGTCATTGCCCACGTGGGCGAGGGCAACCGCAAGGACGTGCGTAACGCCGTGGAGGCCGCACACAAGGCCTTCCCCGGCTGGGGCAAGCGCGCTGCACACAACCGCGCCCAGATTGTCTACTACATGTACGTGTGGGGCAATTGTGTGTGTGTGTGTGTGTGTGTGAGCGCGCGCGCGTGCGTGGCGCGTACAAATAGCCACGGTATCGTTCGCTTGCTGTTTTCGTTGACGTTGACCTTATCGCAACACCCACCGTCACAAGTCAGCCCTTACCCTCTGCCACAACCACTCCTTCCCCCCCCCCTTGCCTCCCTTGTTCTTAATTCATTGCCTCCAGGGCGGAGAACCTTGAGGTGCGTCGTGTTGAGGTTGCGACGCGGCTGGCGAGCACGACCGGGGTGAGCCAGGAGGATGCGCTGAAGGAGGTCGACGCAGCCATCGACCGCCTCTTCTACTGGGGCGCATACGCCGACAAGTACGGCGGCGCCGTCCAGGTCCGTACCGCAGCGGTGGTGGTGGTGTTGTTGTTGTTGTGGTGGTGGTGGTGTTTAAGTTGTTGTTGTTGCTGTTTAAGTTGTTGCTGTTGTTGTTTAAGTTGTTGTTGTTGTTGTTGTTGTTGTTGTTGTTTAAGTTGTTGTTGTTGTTGTTGGTTGGTTGTTGTTTAAGTTGTAGTAGTAGTAGTAGTAGTAGTAGTAGTAGTAGTAGTAGTAGTAGTAGTAGTAGTAGTAGTAGTAGTAGTAGTAGTAGTAGTAGTAGTAGTAGTAGTAGTTGTTGTTGTTGTTGTTGTTGTTGTTGTTGTTGTTGTTGTTGTTGTTGTTGTTGTTGTTGTTGTTGTTGTTGTTGTTGTTGTTGTTGTTGTTGTTGTTGTTGTTGTTGTTGTTGTTGTTGTTTAAGTTGTTGTTGTTGTTGTTTAAGTTGTTGTTGTTGTTGTTGTTGTGTGCTGCGTGTTGTGTGCTGCGTGTTGTGCCTGCTTGACTACAGTTGATTGTTGCCACGCCAACCTTGAAAGTCTTCGCGTTCCAAACTGCCCATTCACCTCCCTCCTCCCTCATCCGTACTCACCCCGAACCCCAACACCACCACCCCGCCCCCTCTCTCCTTCGAAATGATCAACAGGAGACGACGCTGTACGGCGCGACGGTGAAGATCCACGAGCCCGTTGGCCCGCTCGCCATCCTGTGCCCTGACGAGAACCCGCTGCTGAGCTTCGTGTCGCTGTTTGCGCCCGCCATTGTTCGCGGCAACACGGTTCTCATCGTCCCCTCGGAGAAGTACCCGCTCTCCGCGCTCGACTTTTACCAGGTGCGGTGGTGGTTGTTGTTGTTTAAGTTGTTGTTGTTGTTGTTGTTGTTCTTGTTGTTCTTGTTGTTGTTTAAGTTGTTGTTGTTGTTGTTGTTGTTCTTGTTCTTGTTCTTGTTCTTGTTGTTGTTCTTGTTGTTGTTCTTGTTGTTGTTCTTGTCGTCTCGTCTCCCGCCGCACACATCCACACGTACTCACCAACACATCACACACATCACATCACCTCACACACGCATGTACATGTACGTACACAACCCACGCTGCGGCTTTGTTGCAGGTGTTTGACACGTCCGACCTGCCTGGTGGTGTTGTGAACATCCTGACTGGCGAGCGGGACCACCTTGCCAAGTACATGGCCGAGCACCAGAACCTCGAGGCCGTCTGGTACTTTGGCTCCGTCGAGGGATCAAAGTTTGTCGAGTACACTGGTACGTTTCAGAACGCGTTTGACTTTTGTGTGTGTGCACGTTTGCGCACTTGTGTCTACTTCGAGGATTTGTACGTGGCTTTCTCAAACCTTCGCTTTCACCAACCTCACTCAATCCCACCCCTCCCAACCCATCACCTGTTGTTTGTTTGCAGCTGCTGAGAACATCAAGCGCACGTGGGTCAACTACGGCCAGTCGCGCGACTGGTTCGACCCCATCCAGGTGAGCACACACTTGCTGCTTCTAAACATCCTTTGTTTTGGAGGTGACGTTTATGATGAGGGAACTACGCCGATCGTTCTGGCACACACACACTCACCCACTCACTCATACACTCACTCATACACTCACTCACTCACACACACTCACGCACGCGCACACAGGGTGCTGGGGAGGAGTTCTTCTACCAGGCCGTGGAGGTGAAGAACATCTGGATGCCCATGGGAACCATCTTTGCCAACTGATGCAAGCACAAATTGCAACGCACAAACAAACTGGACGACGACGATGACACCCTTTCTCTTCCCTTTTTCCCTGTTTTGCCCCTTGCATCGTTGACCTAACAAGAAGGGCCTGCACTTACACTGCTGCGTCCCCTCTGCACCCGTTTCCTACGTGCTGACGTGGTCCCACTTTCCCTCCAATCAAAGCAGTAGTACACCACAACCGCCAATGTGAACAAGACAAGTGGATGACACACACACACACACACACACACACACACACACACACACACACACACACGACGACACGCACACACACACACACACCACACAACACACACACACACACACACAGCAACACACCTCCTCCTCCACCACCACCCTCCTTCCTGCTGGCACGACTTTTTGTGGAAATGGTTCGAGAAAATTCTCAGCATTCGCCACTCTCGATTGCCCACAACGCTTCCAAGCAAGAAGCTACCAGCCACTGCGCACACCAACCAACCAACCAGCCATGTTGGCGCGTGCTGCCTTTGCTGGTGGTGACGATTCTGATGATGATGGTGAGGATGTGCGGTCGCAGGGTGAGCTGGAGTGCGTCTCATGCGGCCATGTGAGCTCGGGGCAAGATGGAAGCGAGTTGGTTATGTATAAGCTAACAGGCGACAAGCTGTGCTCTGCTTGCTGGTGCTTCACCTGTGAA